GTTACACTCTTTGAGATTCTTTATATTATGTATTAATTGGATCACAAGCACTGGTGTGCATCTGTCCTCTCTCTTTCATCCCACAGAATGCAGCTCCAGGCAGCCCCTGACCTCCATCACCCCCACGCGCTCAACACCAGCCAGACCAAGCCAGGTTTTCCTAGCCTAGGACTTCAGGGCTTGCTGTGTCTTTCTCCTCAACTTCTTCATAGTATTACTAACTTTCTCTACTGCCTTGTTCCTACCTGAAGCCTCTGTGCTGGCCTTTCCCTCTGAGCAACAGCTAGCTCAGTGCTATCTACAGATCGGACAGCTAGCTTCTGATAACTATCATCAGCTTGGTTGGCATCACCTCGGTGAGGACCCCGCTACACCCATCACAGTCCTGTCCCTGCCTGGTGCCCCCTGCTCACTAGAGATCCCTTCCCCACTGGTCTCTGAGCTCCAGAAAAAGAGGGGTCCATCAGTCTTCTTCACTGCCCTACTCCCTGTGCTGAGCATCACCAAATATATAACTTCAGTATTTTGGTAGAAAACTTTCCTCCTGGAGACAACTCACACATGCTGCCTTGAGTAGCTCCCTGGTGCCCACCTTGGCCGGCAAGGGCTGCCTGGCTCACAGGTGGGCCAGTTTGTGGAGATAGTGAGTGATTGTTAAGGATGGTTCTCATTGCTGTTTGCTTTGAAAAAGCAAAATGAATTTACCGCAAACTTTTGTTTAACTGGTTATCGAAAAAAGTTTTTGGAAATTGTTAAACTAAATATTAAAGTGCTTTTAAAGCTTTTCTCTATCATTGAACAAATTTCATAATACAATTGACGAGTACTTTACATTAATTATGGTCCAGAGAGGTTCATCTTAGTTATTTATTCATCCATTCATTCTGAGAACTGAACTCAAGACCTTTTGCATTGAGTTACACCCTACCCCTTTTAAACGTTTTACTTGAGACATTGTCTGGCTAAAGATTTACAGCTGCTCTTTTTTCCCCAAAAATATATGCCCACATTTTTACCTTTGGGTTTAGAAAAAAAAACCTTTTACTACATTGTCTCTCTTTTTAAAGTCTTATTCTCTGGTTTCATTAATAGGATGTGTTCTCCATTTGTTTAACATGGCATGTATACAGCCGAGAAATGCACGCATAAACTTGACTTGCTGAACATTTCTGAAGTCTATATTATCAACTCTTCTTTTAGGAAAATATTTAACTTGCAAAAATGTAAATAAAGGTTCACTTCACTGAAAGTCCCTAGAGTAGATATTATTAGCTCTTCTTTGAGAGAAATATTTAACTTGCAAACCTTAGCAATGTGCTCACTATGGTATCACTTTTAGCACACCGTGAATTAATGCTGGAAAAAATTATTTCTGCACAGTGTTTGAGAACCACCTATGTACACGCTTTAATAACGCAGTGTCACTTCACTAACACACAGAACTACGCTGATGTAGGAGGTGCGGGTGGTTGGATGCCAGAGGGTACTACATCACACGACAGTTCAAAAGCAAACAGCGATGGCTACATCTTGTGCATGTGTTTATCAACGGAAGAAATGTTTGATTAAATATATTCTGCGTGCATAAAATATCTGCTAGGAGATGTGATGGTCCGCGAAGATATTACTTCTTACAAGGATATGCACTTAATGCCTTAAACAGCCTCAGGTGTGTGACTATCAAACAAAATCTGGGCACCACGGGCTGCAGTATGCTATTAACATAAAATGAATAAGCTGCTGACACGCTGTGCTATAGGGAAAAGTCTTGGCTCAGCCTTCCCCTCAGTGATCCCTGGGAATACAGAGGAAGGCGTTTAACTCCAGTGTGTGTCTATTGAGTTTAATTGTTTTTTTTTTTACTTTTATTCAGATTTACAATTGAGTGTTTTTAAATGATGGGACTCATCTACAATTCCTCATTCCACAGCAAACAAACACAAAGCCTTGGTTTTGTAATACCAAGACGCTAATGTTTAGAATTAGTCTGTCAATCAATCCGGTCTCCTCCCTTCAAATAAAGGATGAAAACCTCAGATATAGGATCTGTGTACAATGAAGTTATTCTGGCCTCTTTCCTATGAACAAACAGGCACAGAGAACTCATGCAATTAAAAATTGTTTTATGATGGCCTCAACTCTATCTGTAGGAGGTTAGAAGTTAATAGAGCGTAACAATTAAGGACTTTCCCTCTGGACCGCGAATGCTGCTTGTGCAGAGGTTGATGCACGCACAAGGATCTCCCACAAATACACAAGCGAAGCAGCAGACGCTTCCATTCTGCAACATGATGTGGGAAGTGTTTTAGACTTTCATCTTACTTTCCCCATTCCTTTAGAGTCACTGAGAAAGGTCATACTGGGTCTCCACGGGGACGGAGCTGAGAGTCACAGGCAGAGCCCAGCCCTGTGCTCTGTAAGGCCCAGCCCTAACTCTGCTGCATGGACCAGAACTGGCCACAACAATTGAGCAAACGTAAGGGAGAGAAGCCAGGGTGAGGAGTCGCACACACAGCGTGTGACTTTGTGACTGGTGATAGGTGATAGGTGATAGGTGATAGGTGTGATAGGTGGCTTAGAGAACACGGGAGTTACAGATGTCCTCTGTTCCCTGCTTAGTGTTAAGACAGCTTTCTGCTCTTCCGCACAGATAAAAGTAGAAGCGGGGCATTTTTGCCCCTGTGTTCCTGCTCATTGGGTCAGTGACCAATATAATGTTTGTCACATTTTGTCCTTTCATTTCTTGCATCCAGAATGTACCCTTGCTGATTTCTTCACAAAGAAAATAGAAATTCACCCTCTTTGCTATATTTGCTTTTCTGTGAAATTTGATTAAATTTATTAGAGACTCAGTGTCCATGCTAATAAGGAGGGATAATGCCTTCTTCCTATGGTCATATGTGTCACATGTCTAGGTAATATACTGCATTATTTGTGAATAGTATATTATTCTTAATCTACAACACACTGCACAGATGTTAGTAGTCATTTAAGGGCAGCCCCTGGACCATACCAGTAATTTCCTGTCCTGCAATTGAATCTGAAATCATAACTCAAAAGGGAGCAAGATCATTACCTTTAAGTTTAGACTCAAGGGACCCTTAAAGCTGGTGTGGGGTTTTGAACGGTGTCCCATAGAGCGGTTTTCCAAGTGTATTTGCATTTGGTGGCTCCCTCATTGCTGCCCGGGGCTCACAGGCTTACGACTTCGAGGGGTGAGTTCTGCACACAGCTTTGAGGGGTGAGTTCCGCTTTGGTGGATGCACATTTGCTACAAACTGGGGAGCCAGCCCTGTGTGAGTTTCTCTGTGGCCTCGGTGAGGCCCAAGGAAGGGACACTCATGTAGTTTGTAAGTAGGACACTCTTTAAACAAATCTGCTGTAAATAAGATGAGAAGCATCCCTGTCCCCAAATGAAGGCAACCTGAGATCCTTCATTTGCTTCTGACCCTGAACCAGAAGGGAACTGAAAAATTGACTGGTTGAACTCCCTGAAACAAATGATGCTTGAGTGGGTTCATGCATAATAACTGCCTTTGATGTAAATGGGGCCATCCGTCAGCGGCACCTCCGCCGTGATCTAACCTCTATCTCCGCAAGGCCCTTCACACGGGGCCGTCTCAGGAGCCTGCTGGCTCAGCACAGCTCAGGTCACAGGACGCAGGTCAGGCCTCCTCATGTCCAGGCCTGAGCCTTCAGAGAAGATTCTGGAAAGGTCCGCGAGGAAGTCCTGGGAGGCAGGAATTAGCAAATGTCTCTTCCTAAGAGTGTTAGTGGAGAGTTTTACATTTTAAGTTTGGCTAGCTGTGTGTCACTCATACAAAAGGAAATAAGATGCTGTTTTGAGGAAGCCTGTGAGAGGGGTTGTGTTTTTGCATGCTAAGCTCAGACATAAAGCTGAAAGAGATCTATTCTTCTGCCTCATGTCTTTCTGTGGGTGGAGCCAAGGGCCGACAAGAGACTGGCCTCAGCACTTGGCCCTCCCATTCCTCATGGGGATATGTGATTCCTGACAGGACAGAGCCCCACATTTTGACTAAACCTCCCAAAGCAACACTACCGTGGGGAGACAGCGGACTTCCAGAGGAGCACACCTCCCTGCCTGCTCGCAGGTATCAGCCAGTGCTGTAAGCTATTGGGCTTTATTTCTTTTAAAGCACATATACGCTTATGTGCTTGCAGATTGCATGATGAACTTAGAATAAAAGTGAAAGGAGATGGATAGGAGTCATTTTCAGACAAGATTTACCTCCAACGAGACTACAGAGCCGCAATTCATTTCATCACCTCTAGCCTGACAAAAAGCTGACATTAAAACGAAGGCATGTCCTAATCGTCACGCATGTAACGACTTTTTCTTTTTTCACATTTGTATGCTAATCACGAGAAGCAAAAATAGACTTAGATTGGAAATCAAAGATTGGTTGTACACAGGTAATAGAGTGCTTGGACGCTTTATTTAAAGATAGAAGGCTCTTGGACCAGGCTTTATTATTGAACTAAGACTATCTATCCTTTTTGACACTTTTTAAATTAAGTTCTTCCTCTAATTTATGTTTTTGTCAGCTTTCTTCCCTTACCTGGTTTTAAACTGGTTTTTTCTCCCTCTCCCTCTCTCTCTCCTTCTAGGTAATAAACTACTCCAGAGCAGAGGAAAAAAAATTTTAATGACCCTCAAAATTCAGATTAACAAAATGGATCATTTGTATACGGCCCTAGAATTATGAATCCTTCTGAAATATCTGTGCAGAAATTTTGCCTGATGCAAAATTTCATTTTCTCTCTCTCTGACATCTCTCTGACTTCCCTCTTTTAAAAATGAAATGGTTACAGTACCTTTTTAGAAAGGTCAAACACAAGAAAGTAGAGGGGTTGTGGGGGGTGAGTTCGAGGCTCAAATGAAAAAGTCTTTTCTTTTCTTTTTTGAATTAAGGGAGATGAGCTCCAACAATGTGTCAGTGCACCAAATAGAAAAGAGTTTGTCCAAGCTGAACTCGCACCTTGAGACCCGCCTGACTCTTCTCTGAGTGCTCAATCTGCCAGCTCCTCAATCTTCTTAAACTGGCCGGCCTCCCAGTAGGTTCTGCGTCCCATCTGACTTCCGCAGAGTTCGAGGGAGCTTAGGACGGGCGGAACAGGGGAGCAGCTGCACGGTGATAAGTGGTGGCTGCCAGATTATCCACGACGATGTCTTGTTGGGAAAAAAAATTGAGACATTGTAATTATCCCCACTTACCATAACCTCTGCCCGGGAATGGCAGGCAAACTTAACACACAAATTTTTGTGCTGCTAGGCCTTACTTTAACATTGTGTGTATAGTAAAATAAAAAGATAGAGCAAGGCCAGGAGCAAGAATTTTAAATTGCCTAGCTTCAGTGAAGAAAACCTAGGGATCAAAATTATCTAGAAAGGATTTGTTGGAAACAGAAGTTCCCCAAAGTTATTCAAAACGCAACAAATATCTGCCACTGAGACTGATTACCACACGTGGCCCGGTGCTCCTTTCCCAGTATGTGGAAACCGGTTCTTCTACCTAAAATGCTTTCATACATTCTCCCAACTTCCTTGTTTTTACCAGCACTCCTACACCAAGTGGAGTCCTGAGTCCTCTCCGGGAATGTCAGACACACCCACCATTCAATGCCTCCTTCTCCCATCAGCAGAGAAACAGGGAGCACAGTGAACGCAGAGCAAGCAGGCCAAATCCCCACCCCAGCTCACAGGCCTGCGCCCCCACATACCAGCGGTGCGGCCCTTCCTGGCTCGGCTCCCCCACCTCGAGAAAGCGGCGATAATGGTTACTACAGTACTGAGTTGGTGAGTGCCCTGGAGTAGAATGTGTTTCTGCTTCCTGCCTGCAACAGAGCAGCTTTCCTCTGCCATTCCCTTCCGCCATGACAGTGCTGCCTGCGCGAGCCCACCCTGACTGAACCCCTTGCAACAGTGAGCCAAGCCAAACCTTTTCTCTATGTATGGCAGATATTTTTGTCCCAGCCATGAAACATCAACTAATACAAAGACTTAAGACAATGGTGCAAGTAAATATTCGATAAAATAAAGTCAGTATTAGAATGAATTAGAACTTCCAAAACTGAATTACAAAAGAAGATATCAACTGGTTATCACTGAACTTCCAAGAAAGATGAGGAGCAATTAGTTGGGAGAATATTAAAAGGTTAATGGAGAATGCCGATCAAAATAAGAAAATAATGCATGAGCCAGAGAGATAAATGGGACAGAACTATGAGGAAAACCCAATTTGTGCAAGAATTTGTTTGTAATCCAGAAAGCATCAAGCCAGGAATGTTGGCCCTGCAATTGGGAGGCTGAGGCAGGAGGATTATTTGTTTGAAACCAATCTGTGGTAGAGAATCCCCATCTCAAAAAACAGAGGGAGAGAAAGACAGAGAGAGAATGGGGAAGAGACAGAGGGACAGCGAGGCAGAGAGAGAGACTATGACTATGACCTTGGATCTATGAGATCAGGGCATGGTGTAGTGCAAAGAAGTCAGATAGCAGGTTGTGGGATGTGGAGTCTGGAGTCAGAGCCCAGCTCCCCCATTTTCTAGCTGTGTCATTGTAGATGAGAAACTAAATAGCTTCTTAGCTCTCTCTCTTTTTAAATCTCTACAATAGTACATCACTAACAATATTACCCAATCGGAGCATTGCAAGGATTGATTTAAGTACTACACACAAAATAGTTACCATTTGCTTAATAAGCATGCAATAAATGACACTTTCTTGTTGTTCTTTCAATTTTTGAAATGCTAATTTAAATGTTAACTTCTAACCCATACCTATAACATAATAAATTCCAGGCAAAGTAAAAACTTAGCATGCAACTTAAAGCAAGTCTAGAAAAATATATTTGTTCCAGAAACACTTAGTTCCTAAACAAACCAAACAAAAACCAATACAAAGATGATAAACAACAGGAAAACCCAATAGGATTCACTTCATAAGATTTAAAAATTAAAGCCATCTGCATCAAAAAAAATTATGAATTAAGAAAGCTATCCAAGTAAATTCTTATAGTATAGAATCAACTCAAAAATGAGTGAAACAACATTCTAAACTAATCAATAAAATGACAAAGTACAGACAATGATATGTCATGGGAAAAGCTAACTGGGCACTTTTTCTAAAACACCTGCTATGGCGTGATCATTACAAACTATGAATAGTCTTTCTCCTAAGCCAAATGGAGGGCCTGGGGATTTAGCTCAGCGGCACAGCGCCTGCTCGGCAAGCACAAGGTTGTGAGTTCAATCCCTGGTACTGGGAAAAAAAAAACAAAACAAAACAAAAAAGAGAAATGAGACTAAGCCAAATGGAGCTGGTTTCCTCACCTGAAATGAAGTGACAGCCATATGAAAATATTTCATGACATTTCTTGTATGTTATTTCTTGTAACCTCATGATTATATCCCCTAGATTCAATTCTCTACCCCTAAGTGGACACCAACATGAAGAAATTCAGACCAGAATCAAGGTTGGTTACCAGGGCTACATGAGTCCTCTACTGGGCTCTGACTTGAGCAGAAGTAGAAAACCAAGAGGCTCGCTATGGCCCGATGTGGAAAAGGGCCTTTCGGTTCTCCACATACAGTCAGCCCCGTGGGTCCAAAGGTTCCACCTCCATGAATCCAATGAAAGGTCAAAAATATTTCAAAAAGAACCGGAATCTGCATGGAACACGCATTTGTCTTTCTGTTATCTCCTAAACAATAGAATGCAACAACAATCTACACAGTATTTAGGTACTATAAGTCATCTGGGAAGGTTTCAAAGCATGCAGAGAGGGTTATATGCAAATGTCACACTGTTTTGCATAAGCGACTTGAGCATCTGCAGTCCTGGCATCCATCAAGCAAGTTTTGTCGAGAAAGAGGAAGAGAGGTTTCTACTTCACTGCTACAGCCTAATCTGATCATTCTGTTCAAAGTACAAATCTAGCTGGTTTCACTTACATCATGATGCATCTGAAGGATGGAATATTAAGTAGTAGTATAAAGCAATTCATCCAAAGAATACTTGATGTCAAAAGAAATGTCTTATTTTATATCATGATTCAAGAGTTGGATCATATGAGCAATATGAATCTTAATTAAGGTAAAAAATATAAATAAGTCTAAAAGTAATGCGTCAAAATATTAACAACTGATAAGTTTTGGATGCTTTACGTTTACTTTTTTCTCTTTTCCAAACATAATTCTATTTATTTATAGAATAAAAAGAGTGAGAAAGTTGCCTTTAAAGGTAGAGATTTGAACTTCACATTTACTTCCTACCCAAAGCTGAAAAATAAACATGTAGGGAACCACAAAACTATGTGTAAGAAATTATAGCTACATATTTGCTATTTTTTTCACATGTTTTTATATCTTAGCCTCTTCACTTGAGATATTATTTTTATTAAGTAAGACAGATAATAATTTCCTTACTTCCTGCCAGTTTCACAAGTTTTTTTCACTCAGTACACTGAAGAACTTTACTGTCCTGGCTTCCATGCTGTTTGTAACCCAGCTGTGTAACTTCTATTTCAATGCAAACTGATCATTCTCTTCAGAGGTCAGAATATATACTACTATGTGTAGATTTCTTCATATTTTATTTGGTTCTGGAATCATTGGGTTTCCTGAATTTGGACCTTAGTAAAATTCCAGCCATATATTTCAGAATATCGCCTCATCCCATTCACCTATTTTCTTCCTCTAGGACGCTGATACACAATATCTAAGTCTACAAGCTTCTCAGGCATTTTATCTCTTGGCCACCCTTTCATACTTCATTTTTCCCCTCTGGGAAGCATTGTGGGTTTTTTATTTTCCTGGGTTTTTTGTTTTGCTTTTGCTTTGGTTTTATGGTACCGGGAATTGAACTCGGAACCTCACACTTGCCGGGCAGACACTGCACCGCTGAGCTGTATCCCCGGTCCTTGGGAAGCATTTGGGATAATGTTTAGTATACTTTCTGTTCATGAATGCAGTTCCGTTAGTTTTGTCTACTTCCTTCTTTACCAGTAAGTCTTGAACTACTTTCAGTCATTTTCATCACGGATTGTTTCATGCCGTTCTTGTTCCAAATCTTCAAAGTTGTGCTTTGAATACCACGCTCCTTTGCTCTAATTTTCAAGACCCTCTCATTGTCTTTAGCTGAATGAGATCTATTTGTATTATATTTAAAATCTCATCACTACAGTATCTGAAACATGTTCCAGAAGAGTTTGCTTTGTTTTTCTTGTCATTTCCTTTGGAGACTTTAAAATGTCAGTGCGTCATCTTACAGAAATTTTTTCAGGCCTATTTGAAGTAACATTGTTTTGGGACCAGTTTTTATTTGTTTTTCTGCTGATCACCTTCAAGTCTTATCAACCTATGACCACTTTAAATTAAATTTTCAATTTCAGCTCTTCTACAGCCTAGGTGCCATGAACTCAAAGCTACATGTGGGAATGAAACAGGATTCTAGGTTACAAATACTCACTGAAGCTTGTTTTCCTCTCACCGAACCCAGTTCAAGTCATGTTATTTTAATTGCATTCACCTTTCCCAGGGACACGGTCCCTGGGGCCCTCCCCTGGCTGAGAGCTCTTCATGAGTCCCTTCCCTCCTGGGCCTCTTTAGGCAGCAAAACAGGAGCTCCAGACCACAAAGGCTGGCAGACAACCCTCACAGGGCATGAGCTGCTTTGACTTTTCGATAAACCCTTAGCAGTCCCTGATGTTAAATGTTTTTAAACCTTCTGTTGGTTCCTTCTGTTTATCTAGCCCAGTGATGTCTTTCAAAACACAATGAATCCTGATATTTTTGGTGTGGAAAACAGTTTCCACTGGGAAAGTTTGGGATTGAGTTTGTCTGCCATGCTGCTAACCACAGAACTCCTTTTTTCTGTCTGTACACACCTACGCATTAGCCACATAACAAGGATACGACTGGTTGTTATAGTACACATTTTTGTATGCTTCAATATTCATAAAAATAATAAAATAAAAATCACACATGAAGTTCCAGGAGATGGAAAGATCAACATTAGTAAAACTGGAAAGAATAACTACATTCTTAGAACATTACATGATTTACAGAACAAAGAACTAGGTATAGATGTGGTAAACAAATCCAAGCATCATTTTTGTTTGGTTGGGCTTTGTTCCCTCCCACCTCTATGAAATAGACTAGAGGCTGGTG